TGATGCTTATCACTTGTGTCGCAAGTGATCGGCAAATAGGTAGGCGTCATCGCAAGTGAAAAAACATTACACCTGCAGTCATCAAACATCAGACCTGCTGCTCTGCCCTTAGGCAACCAACAAATGCAACCCCTGAACCCTCAATTGACTTTAAAAATCTTCCCCGGGTCCAGGACAGCTTTGCTTTTCCAGAGGACTTTGGATGAATAGACAATGTGAAAACTTGAGCCCTGACGTCCTGGGTTTTCCGAACAGTTCGAGTGTTTTCCGAGTTTGGTCCTGGCACCAGTCCGTGGTTTTGTTGGGTCCATGTTCTCAAAGAAACATCCAGTGGGGTCAAAACCATCGAGCTGACCAACATGATCGACCCCACTGCTTTCCGACAGCCAGGGCGATGCATTGGCCTCCAAGCTTCAAGGCCCGTTCACCGTCGGTTTGTGAGTCCCCAGTTCGACCGAGGGGTTTCAGTTGGATACAGTATCCGGCAAAACAACGGATCGGAGGGTTTGGGGGTTCCCTATATCCTGGCATGGGGAAGATGTTTCGATGTGTTTCTTATGATACGGTGCAGGCTGAATCAACAAGATTCCATTCAAGAGCGTTCTCTTTTTTGCGGGGGGATGGTGCAATGAAGACTGGATCGATTTTCAGCGGTTGAACTTTTCCTGGATCCAGCTTCGCAAAAGAAACCAGACATTCACAAGTGGCAACTGTCCAAGAATTTCATGCACATGCCAGGCTGCGGATCCCCACACCTTGGCATTTGGTCTTGTGGGTTTCTTTCTCACCCATTCCTGTAAATGGTACAGGCATAGCTCAAACCGACAAGCATCCTCTGCGACACCTCAACACCAACACCATCACCGCGATCTCCACTTCAATCACCACCATCATCTCTCTCTGAAACTCAATACGTCCAGATCTCTAGAGTCTAGACCTTCTGCTTCTACACCTCTAGACCTTAGACAGGTAAACACCATGTTTGGGGTCTCCACCAGCCTGGGACTCCTCACCCAGGATCGAGTTGCTTGTGGTCCCATCATCGCAAGAAACTCCACCTACACCCTGTGGTGTCATCCAGACCCAAAGCTCTCCAGTCAGCGGTTACGGTTTCCGACAGGTTCCCCCCCCAAAACGACTCCACGACCGCACCCGGGTCCACTCCGTTCAGTAGGGGCCGGACCCGAATCGGAGGGGGTTTGGGACCTTCTCACCAATCCCCTGGTCGGCCTGTTGAGTTGGGAGCATTGGGGCAGATTCTCCTCGGCTCGACGGCAGGACAAGCCCTCACCAAGCGCTTGGAACAGAAACAAGAGGAGCGTCTTGTGGGGCAGCGCAGCGCAGCCATGGCTGCTGTTGCTGGGTGTGAAGACGAGTTCTATCTAGTCGGGTGATGCAATGCCTGGCAGCTAAGTGAACCACATCTAAAGTCGCAAATGGCAGAGTGCCTACCATGATCCACTCCAGCGTAGATTGCATCCCCCAACCCTGGCCTTCAATGTACGTAGAAGTTTAACTTCGACGTGGATAAGGTAGATGTTTTACCAGGTGAAACATCGACGTAACTTAAACATTACGATTGGATCCATGGAGAAAATTGTTTCACAATAATTTCCAGACATGAGCATAGAATCATATGAATCCCTGAGGTATCATGAGGTCTATACTCATGAACTGGGGGTGAAGTTTTAGGATCTTCTAGAAGATTCCTTTGAGAAGATCCGGGTGGAACTCCCTTCCGTGAAGTTGCGTGAACTACCCGTGACATTGGCGTGAATGTGTATGTTTTACCTATTAGATTCCATGTTTTACCGTGAGATCCGCATGAAATCGCGTGAAGTTCTTCCCCCCAAAAAAGGATCCACGCAGGAAACCATAGTTTTAGTCCAAGACTGTCCTATCTTGCTAAGACATTTCTGCCGCTCTGAAGGCTTCCACTGTGATTCACCTGCCTTTCAATGTGGAAGCTTCGCTTCAATGCGTGATGTGAGAGCCCAACAGATCCGTTCTTCCTGCCACATGTTAAAAAGTAAAACATCAACGTAAGCTTTGCTTCAAAGTAATACATCGACATTTCCCCATGTTGAAGTAAAACTTCGACGTTGGAAGGGCAGGGCCAAAAGATCCCAAAAGAACTCACACAATTTGACAGACCAGCCCCAAATACAGAAAAAAAGATCATCATTTTCCACAGCAGTAGCAGAAAAAACAACACGACGTCATTTATATCGTAATTTAGTAGTCCGACTATACTTGGTATCGCCCTGGCTAACCGGCGCCGATGCAGCCTCTCAGGAGTTCGCCAAGATGGTGAAAGAGGTGGAAGGCACTCCTTGTCTTTTCGCGAGAACTTCTCATCTCGACGTGTTTTTTTAAACGGATCGAATCCCGGCGGTGAGGAATTGGTGAGGATTTGTGAGGATGGCGGATCAAGTCATGAAAGGCCTTCCTTGAAGTGATCGGAGATGGATGAGAAGCATGTTGCGGATGTGGTATCGGAAACCATTTGGTTCTCATCCCTGTCCTGCCTGACTGGATTTCGAAGCTACCAACTGGGATGCTCAACGTTCCATAGAAAAGAACTGGACGAAAAGCACTGGCTGGATGCTGTGCATCCCATTGTGGTCTCCGCCATCGAGCCCATCGGTTCATCCCATGTGGTCTGGGTTCGTCCGATCCAGGAGCTTCTGAACGAAGATGGGAGTGGTTCAATAAGATTCTACTACCCTGCAAGTCCAGGACCCTATATACTTTGTAGCATTTGTACCAATAAGGTCCCCTTAGTTAGGTCTTTGGACTTTGGGGGCTAGTTACTATGGTTATCATATGGGAATGCACAATGAATACATACAATTAGTGGCTCATATCAAGTGGGATCAATGTGCAAAACAAAAATGAGTGACTGGCCAGTGGGAAAAAAACAGTGAAATCTCTTCCCCTTCATGTAGGCGACGTGGCTTCGCTCCCGAAGCCACGATGAACAGATCCTGTGATGAAGATAATAAGATATGGCAGTCGGGCATGGCACCTGGAGCTCCTTTCACCGTAGGTTCACCATGTCTGGGGGCATGCTAGTAGTGGGAACCACCCGGGGGACCCACCCACGACCCACGTACTGAACATGCTGGACATGGACATGGTGTTCAAACAGAAAACACTCGCCTTGAATGCTTCAGGAGGGTCCGGGAGAACTGCAGTTCCTCCGGGGACTGGAAAGACCATTGAAACTAGACCAAAATGCTTTGGGTCGGACAGCTTCTGTAGACATGTTTCAGGATTTATGGCACTCCTCAGGTGTGTTTTGTATCAAAAGCCGAATAATCATGCTGCTTTTGCTTCTGGCGTATATACAATCCCTATAGAATCATAGAATCGTATTCATAGTGCTTTCCAGTTGCTTCTGCTGCTCCCAGCTGCTCCCGATGTGCACACCGCCTCCCTAAACCGCCGCCTTTTCGCCGGTTTCGATCTTCCACATTTCAAGACGTCCAGCTGGCCCGCAGCTAGGCTGGAACGTTGAGAGGTTCACAGCCCTCCCCAAAAACGGAACGAACCGGTCGAACCCAACATCTGGCGCCCGACCCCCGACAAGTCTCGGTCATCCTTAGAGAGAACCCGCAGCCGTTTTCTCGGCGGTTCTCGGCAGAAGATTTGAAATGGATATGATGTACCCCATGATGTTTGGTGATCCCCAAATAGATCGTGGCACGGTTTGCAAGACCATTTTGAGTGGGGTTCTACGAACTTCGAATCAACTGCGGACTCAACTCTCAGCCCCACTCGTTCACAGACGAATGCACCGCTGCCGCTGTTCCACTCAACTCCAGGCGCGTGTGCGTACTTGCGCGTGACCTTGGCCACCTGTAGTAGGGGCCCGTTGAGGACTATCTCTCCATAACAATCACTCCACTCTGTTCCTTTGTCTTTGCGGTGACGACGTGCTACATAATGCTAGATCAACACCGACGTTGAATGTTAACTCTCTCTTGTTTCTCTTTTCATGTTTCAACAAAGAGACACGGGCGTCTTTTTTCGTGTTTCAACACAAACACACAAAGCATCTTGGCCATGGAGATCACGCTGATGACTTGGAGCTTGCTGCTTCTCTGGTTTTTTCTGCACTTCTACTTCACCCGCAGAGATCTTCCGGACCTCCGTCGCTGGATCGCCGGACCCCCACGGGCGAGTGGTCAGGCGAGTGGTCGGGCGAGTGAGTGAAGGGTCGCTGCCGGTGAAGTGGTGGTGAACGAGCGAAGTGGTGGTCGGCCAAGTTTGCCCACCGACGCCGGGAGAGTTGACATCTGGGATCTTAGCACTACTTGGGATACATTGTTTGTACAGTAGTTTCAGAGGTTCAATGGCACTGGCACCCCAAGATATCCTTTATATGGGAGTCCATCTACTCTGAAACTACTGGCATTTTCTGGGATATTGGACCACGTAGTATACGTCGAAATCGGTGACGTTGAAGCGATTTGTGCTTATGCCAGCAATATCAGATGATGCCTCTTGAGGTTTGTCCAACAAAACCAGTCTGATGCGTCCAACGAGATGGTTTTTTGTGGCGGGATGTCCTGCAGTTCAGTGGACCATTTCGCCAGTCAGATGTACTGGTCCAGTCCTCTAGGCGACCCGCTCCCTCCGAGTCCGAGGCAAACAGCTACATGATGCTACATGCTTTTTCTCTTCGGTCCAAAACCCTAAGGAACGTGGTGTTTTTGTTTGCTTGTTTTGATCCAACCTCGCTTCTGCCATGCTTTGCTTCTGCCAACATGACCAGTTGGACTGTTGAAAACAAATCATTGTCCGGATGTGAAAGAAGAATCCTGTATTCATAGGGCCACTGGTGTGGTGATTCCCAGTGTGCTGGTGTCATCTAGTTGCAGCAGTCTTTGTGAGCACCTCTTTGAGGTCTCTGCTATACGTATGGTAGGGGCTAGGGGAAGCAATGGATTAATGATGACATCAAACCACACGAAAAACATAGAAAATTAACACTATGAACATAAGTTAGATCCATCAAGAAGCATCAGCCACTGAAATCCACTGCTTTGGATCGAACCCGGACATTTTCCTCCAACAAAATGAGGCCAACTGAGCAGGCGGTTCGACCAAGCAACTCATGGAAGCTGAGCCCTCCGAGTTTCCCAAAAAGAACTCCCTCTAGGATAGCTGACTCATTGGTTTGGACCCTATGAATAGGGCAGCTGTAGCATGCTGTAGCTGTTTCATGATAGGGGCCCAAACTGGTTCCAAGTTCATGTTTGGATGCGAACTCCACGATCTAAGCTACGAGCCAAGAGGACAGACTTGGGACCAAACCCGGACAGCTCAGGTGAATGTCTTAAAGGAAACGCGAGTAGAGGAGGAAATGCTGAAGCTGCGTCAGAGGAACTACAAGTGGCTGGCGCGTTGCTTTTCTCACCTGGGTTTGCTCGGTGGTTTGGGTATTCTTTGCGAGGCGGGACCTCGGGTTGGAGTGGATTTCTCATGGAACATGCCCTCGTGCAGCCAGCAGGGGCTGCTTTTCACAAGATCGTGGGAAGTCCACATCGTGACCAACGAAGTGGAGTGCTTCTTTGGACACATATCACCACAGATCTTGGTAAGTTTTGGTATGATAAACGGATCATAGCAAGGTAATTCGAGAGGAGCTTCCTTCTGCACTTTCTGACCCTTCCCTACATCCTTCTTCCCCCAAAAGTGTGTGTTTCCATCAGCCGGTTCCATCGAGTTCCAACTCCATCAAATCCACTGGGAACCGAGCACGAGAGAACCTCCGAGCTGAACATCACAGAAAAAACCTCCACGCAATCTCAGACACGCTGCCCACTACCCCGACCCGAACTCGGCCCCGAACCTATGCAGGGGTCGGACCCGAATCGGGACGGGTCAGGGGTCCAGACCCGAACCAATCCCGTTTTGAGGGACCCTGTCGGGCTGTGAACAGCGTCTGGGTGGTCAATATGTTTCCACACCTATGCCTACGATTCGAATCGATTCGAAACTGGGGGAGATGCCGCGATGACCGAAAGAAAAGGGCCAGTCCCGTTCCACGTCCACGTCAAGACCTGGAACCAGATCACGGCTCGAACAGAACTGACTTTTGTTGACCAGGGTGCAGAAGGCAATTCTGATTCTCCCAGAAACAGATTACGTAACAGCTCCTGCATGACCTTGGCCCACTGCTAGAAACTTGCAGTCCTGGGAACATATTGCATGTTGAAGTCAATCTAGGGAACTATTGACTATTGATGTTTATACTTTGTGGGGTGCCTTAGGAATTTTCCAGACAGCCTTTGTAGATATTTTATGCATCGAATTGCGCGAAATGATTGGACTGGGACAACCATTTGGTGTTGCTTGGCGGGGAAGGGACTCCACAGTTGTCATTTGGAGTTTGTGTGGACTCTCCTGTCAATGAACGGTATTTGGGCTGACCAGGGCATATATATGAATGGTTTGGACCGGAAACGCAGAGCGGCAGATCTTTTCTTCAGCCCATTTAATGCTTCCAATCAAACACGTTTTCGCTTTAGGACGTGCGTCAGCGCGAGGTCAATGAGTCAATGAGTCAATACCCTCTTTCTGAGATTACCATCTTCTTTCTTCGGACTGGGCCAGGCCGTATATAATTTCGATGTGGTGAATGAGTTTGGGTCTGTCCGAACTTACCTGTAAGTCAGTAATATTCAGCAATTAAACATCAGCAAACAATTAATATAACAATTCTATGTCACTATTTTTGAACTGTCGGCCTGCAACTGAACCGTCATCATCCTATGGGGTTAGGATATGTTAGGATAGATAGGATAGATAGACTTACATGAATGGTCTTGTGGAATATGTTCTTTCCAACAAAACCGTTGGGCCCCCTTTGCTTCGAAACTGGGAGGTTCCCAGTTCCACAAGACACGACTCGCGGTGCTGGGTCTTCGTGCTGGTGTCATGCAAGTAAGCCAGCGATCTCCAGAGCTGACCTAAAAATTGACCCTTCAAAAGAGGTTATAAATGGTTATAACCAATCCAGCAGCACCCTTTGAGGGTGCTTTCTAGAACCCGAACCCCATGTATGTTCCGATGCTTCATCTTTTGGGGGTGCGGATGACTTGCCATTGTCCCAATGGATGCTCTGCTGATTCCGTTCGGAGGTCCTCGCGAAGCCTGGGGCGAAGTCGATCATCTTTGCCGCCTGTTGGATGGCTTCTTATTTGCCGCTCGGGCTGAGGGACTGGTTTTGGGAGGCACAGGTGAAGTTAAAATCCGTTGAGCTGGTCCCGCGGCTTCCAACTACAGCAAAATTAGGATGCAAAATGGATGAAATACCGTTGAATGCCTCAAGTAGAGTCGGACATTTGCAGGCAAAAGTCGGTTGACCGAAAGCTTGTGCTTGTGAACTTTCGAATGTTCTCTTTGATGAGGCAATACCTGCGTGTTGGGGGCGACATGATAGAGCTGACGCAAAAGCGCTTGAAGATGGACTGCTTCGCGATGCATGTCCTGGCGCTCATCGTCTTCATCTCCACCGCCACGTTTGCCAGCACCTTTGAGTTTGCTCTCTTGCAAGGCGCGCTTGGCTCCGGCCTGGAACAGAAGGAACCGCCCAGCTTGCGTGTGCATGTTGTCCTGTGAAGCAGTTTTGGATTTTTGGATGGCTTGTCTTGTCTCTGGTACATGTGAAGAGGTCTCGTCCTTGAACAACACCTGGTGCCTACCTCACCGTACCTCACAATGTTCTCGCCTCTTCTCAGCCAGACACGGTCCTCGTCCTCGTCCTCCACGTCGTACGCCACGCCCCACGAAGCCCGCCAAACGTCGCACGTTCGTACGTCGAGGCTGGCAGGTGGCCGTGCGGTGCTGGCTGGTCTACACCTTCTTGGATCCGTGGATTTCCATTCCCTTCCAGGTGCTTTACACCTTGACCGATCCTCGGATCCCAGACGACCCGGAAGAGAGAGAGAGACGTCGGTCGATGGAAGACCATGCTCGCTCGGACGGGACGACCGCCTTCCCAGAAAGCAAGTCCAAAACAACCACCCCTGGCCGGGCCCGCTGCTAAGCTGATCGGCATCAATCAGGTCAGTCCCAACTGCTGCGTCTGGGTAGTTATACCTGTTTTCTTTTTATTTGGTTTCCCTGGGAGGGGTACGAAGTGAGGGTCCCAGGGAGGAGTCGAACGAGTCCGGATTGGATCTCGGAGTCGACTGACTCGTCGTCGTCTCGGAGCGACGGACCGTGAGGCGGCGGACCGTGGGACAACGGATCCTCGCCCCGGACCGCCCCGCTGTGACCGGTAGACCCGGAGACCGATCACATCGGCGTCAATCCCTTTTGAGCTCTGTTGGCTCCTGCAGCATCGCAAGGATAAAGGGTAAAGGTCGTTAGACATCACCCAGATCAAGAACTGACGTCGATCTGGGCCCACCGCGAGGGTCCTCGACCTCGGGTGCTGAGTCTGGTCGGACTTCAGATGGGGGATGGGGATTTGATGGGCCTTAGTGAAGGAATTCGAGTTTCCTCTTTTGTGGTCCCCAAGCCTGAGGAAGTCTTGGCGTATTTGCTGGTCTTCGAAAGCGCATCTCTTCAACTCGGGCTCCTTTGTCTTGGACACTGTATTTTCTTCGGAGTTTGCGTCTCAGCGTCAATCTTCATTGACACCGTCCTGCGCACGCGCATCTACGCGCTGCTCGACAACGCCGATGCAGAATCTTTAGTCTCCAGCTTTGCACGAGTCCTGAGAGGTGTTTGTGATGGAGAAGTTCTGCTTGACAGCCAGATGAATGTGGCAAAGGACGCTTTTCCTTTCGGCCGAGAAAAGGGAATGTGAATGAATACGATAGGTCCTGTGACCCTGTGACCTGCGTAGGGGATCGTTTAAACCGGTTCTTTGAACTTTTCTGAATCCACTCTTCCCCTAGGCGGATTCATATTTGACAGGGAGTGTTTATACTTTAAATTATACGTAGTTCATGTGATTTTGTGAGAGGCTATCTCATTACTGGCCGGGTATCGCGGCCACACAGGGTCATCGTTTCATGAGCCCCTTCCTTATAATTGTCATAATGAGACCATGTAAGCTCTTTGGGAGACCACCACAACTTGACTGGTGGAAGTTAGGGCTCCAGGTGAATGCTGATAAGAACTCGTTGATCGATTTTTCGGCCAACCAGTGGAGCGGTCCATTCGTTGGAGCTGTTCGTTTAGATTGTTTCGGAGGAAAGTGAGTGCTTGAAACATCTGATCTTGACCAACGTCAGCCTGGTGGGCCGCAGCTTTCCCCACCTCTTGGTGGAAGAGGAACGGCCTCGTTTCAACGAGTTCATCGAAGCATCTGCTCGAAGTACTCGCGAGGCGGCTGCGCCCTTGTGCCTGCGAGTCTCCTTTAGGGGATCTGCCGGGATCAGGACCATCAAACTGGATCCCAACACGTCAAACTGGATCCATGGATTCTGAAGAAAGGTCATGCAAGGGCATGTTGAAGGTCACGAATGAAAGGGCACTCCAAAGATGTCACTTAAAGAAGCTGGTGCATGGGTGTTTTTCTCCCCCAAAGGTTGGCCGAATTCCCAGAAATGGCTGAAACTATGGGGAATTGGATTCTCATCATTCTTTATGCTTGAAGTTCGCGTTTCGAGGATTGCAGCTGATTTGTATCACGTGCCTGTACCAGGCAGGGTGAACCGGCTCTCGCTTTCGCTCCGACAGCGGAACGACCGGGGCGTTCACGTCCGGATCGGCGTGGTGATATGCGCGGACCGTCGACGCTCCGTGAGTTCACAGCCCGACGTACCGGGCCCGAAGCAAACGCTCGGATTGGTGAGGGTCGGTCCGGACCCCTGACCCGTCCCGATTCGGGTCCGAGTCCCTGCATAGGTTCGGGTGCGGGGTCGCGTCTGGGCAGGCAGTTTTTGCGGAGAGTTTGGGTGGTGTTCATGTTCACTGGTTGAATCCCCTTGGCCCAAAAGGGAAAACATGATCGATGTTGTCCATTGTTGTCCTTATTTGGGAGCTGCTTAATCCTAGACCGGTCAGCTTCTCCATTCGACCATTCGGTCGGGTCCTTCGAATCGCAGGACTCTTTGGTGCCAGTGAGCCATATCATCTCTTGGCTTTGAAGGAAGATTTGGATTCCAGGCCACCCCCGGACATGAGCGAAGGCTTCACAGTACCCGAACTCTTGAATCCTGGCAGAAATAGCGGGGTGTCCCAGTATTACCAGTGCCGGCCGTAAAAGAGTATCACATAGTATCACTACATGAGCAAGGCCAGCGGCTCCAGCGACTCGACATCAGTTCCAGCAATACCAGATAATGCATGCATAATACCAGTATAGCTGGCGGTAAAAGCATATCAGTATCATCTTCATTGAAGAAGGCCTGCAACCTATATAACCGTCATCATCCACTTGGCCCTGCGTGTATACCTAAGGCACCGTTAAACATGGTTGTCCCTTTTAAACATGTGTATCTTTACGGTGGACCGATGTGTCAGATGCAGATTCTGTGCTGAATAGAGGCTTCAACGGTTCCGACCATGGCTCATCATTGGTCACCAGTCACCCTGCACCACATCCGGTGACAGGATGTCATCGAAACACAAGCAAGCACTTGGCGCCGGCCGCAGGGGGACCTTCCGCTTTTCGGGTTCGCCACTGGCACACTCCCGGACCCCGGCCAACGCCAACCGGCCAACGGGTCGATGACTGGGAACGGGTCGACGTGTGGGGAAGATGCTGCGTTCGGCAGCTTCCAGACCCCCTGATTTCATCCCTGTAGTACCACCGCGATCATCAACAGACTTTTTACAAATGAGGTGTATGGGACATTCTCAGTGCATGGGGACAGGAGGATTGCAACCTGCTGTTCCACATCCATGCATTTGTTGTAGGGATCGACAGGCACATCCCTTCCAGATTGAGGTGACATCTGGCGAGGGGCTGCAAGGGTATAACTTCCGATGTGGCCTTAGAGCCAGAGCCAGCACATTTTTGTGGGATCCTGTATTTCTAGTTCAAGAACATACTGCAGATCTACTGTATAAGGATCAATATGGTTTGGTTACTTATATGCCTACTCTAAGAGTGTTGCATTCTTTGGATCCACTGCTTTGCCTGTCTCAGGACCAGCTGGCATGGCGCGAACCGCCGCTTCACCCCGCAGGGCGAGGGCGATCAGGGCGAGAGCGGAGGGCGCGAGCCGTCCGTGCGGTCCGGAAGCACTGCACGAAGCTCTGGCGTCCACGCGTGCCCAGAGTTGCAGGACTTGCTTGCTAGATGGGCGAAAAACCGGGGTAGTGAGGTAGTTTTGATGCATTTTTGGTGGATGAATGACTTCTTTCAAGTGGTGGGGAAAGGAACTTGTGCCAAATTGCAGCCCAGTTCCTGGACAGTTACAGGAGATGTTCTTGCTGGTGGATGCAGCGTCACAACTGCAGGATGTGGAACAGGTGGAGTTGAACTTTCGACGCCACGAGGACACTGCTGACAGCTGACAGGCCGCCTTTGGCCTTCTCATGTTCTCTTCGTTTTTTGCGGTAAAGGTTGGAGATAGAAGACATTCAGAATGTTTCACTAGCCTTCCCAAAGATACATACCAAGAGAGAGCAAGCACATTTGGCAGTTTAAACAAATTGTGTGAATCTTCCAATCCCTCTGTTGGGTGATGGTGGCTTATTTGAGACCGGCAGTGTAGCAGGAACACCAACATGACTGAGCCAATCTTCAAAATTCTTTGTCACTCTTGGGATCAAAATCTGTTCTTCTTGCAGCATGCACCATGCAGGTATATACTCTTGAAAACAAACCATTTGGCATCACCTAGTTCACCACCAAAGCACTGTAGATCGTGTTTTGTTCACTATGTCAGAGAGAAAGTGGACTAAAACCCTGGTTTTGTTTGGGCTGTTTCTTTTTCCTATGGGTGAATCCCGTTTGAGGGAATATTTTGTATTTGATTCCTGGATCCTTAAGCAAATTTCCAAGAACCTATGGGGTCTTCCGGTCGAATACTTTGTGAGCTGCAACCATTTGTTGATCCCTCCTTCAGCGTTTCTTTCGCTTCCGCGAAGGGACGACTCCATCGCCATCCGCCGTGGGGTACGGCGAGCCGCTACTGCGCGGATCCGCGGCTCGCGGTTGCGGCGCGCGCGGGCGCGAAACTCATGTGAGGAGCCATATGATCTTCCCTCTGCTCTGCGCTCCAGCATGCCCAGCTTGCGCAGACTGGTGAAGCCTACTGACTGGGAACAAGTTCGTTCAAAGGTGGCCAGGTTTGCAGAGAAGTCCTCCCAGGCAGGGTGGATTTTTGGGTGCGCCATGTGTGTCCTATAGTGTTCAACACCGTCCTTAGACTCCCAAAATATGCCCAAAAATGCCAAAAGCCAAGGCACCAAAGGCACCTCTTTGTTGGGCACGGCACAGCCTCGATGCTTTTCTTTTTTCTTCGGTTTTGGGGGTTCACACCCTTCGTCCTCGTGCCAGCAGCGCCGGACCCCGCGACGCAACGGGTGTTCGGGACCTCGGTGGGATCCCGGACCCCGCGAGGCAGTGGAAGGCCTTGAACTTGCTTGGGGAACAGGTCAATCCAAACAAGTGATCGTTTACTTGTTGGAAAACGTGTTGGGGTGGCGGGTTTTCGTTTTCTTCCAGGTTCGTAAGCTGCCGAACATGGGCACACTGGTCACCATTAGTGCGGACAAACGAAGCTGCTGCGCACTTTTTGTTCTTTTCGACCAAGCCTTGTCCGTAGACAGTGATGGACCTGGAAGATCCAGTCACTCCGGTCGGGTTCCCGTATTACCACCGGTCTTGCCGGGCAAGTTGTTGAATAATGAAGATGAGATGGTTTCAACCGTGATAAAATGCGCTGTGCAGCAAGAGCAACGCATTTCAACCAGTCTTCAATTTGCATCATGTTCTTGCTTGTCAACCATGCTCCATGTTTTTCTTGCAAAGTCTTCGTTTCATCACATCCAACTGGTCTTGCTTTTCAGAGGATCCAGACCTTTCGCCCAAGAAGATCCACTCCTTGGCTGTTCAGCTCCCTGGTCAAAGTGGCTGGCTGATGGTCGAGTTGGCGACACTGCATCGGAATTCGGACGAAGGGAAGGTCTGGCTCCATCTGCCGCTCGGCGCTGGGTTTTGGCTCGTTCGGGCGGAGGGGACCCCGAGCAGGATGGTTCCGGTTTGAAGTTCTGGAGCAGGAAAGCAACGCCCTGAAGAGATAGAGTAGTTTGATTCCAAGAGTCAATTCGTTTTAGAAAAAACTTGTGTAAACCTAGGCCCCCTAAATGGTGTCTAATTATAGTCTAGCTCCTTAGAGGTATCCAGGGGTATCCATTAACCATCCCTTCGGGGGCCCTGGAAGCGGTCTATTTGTTTGGAGACATTGTCTGACATGAGGGGACGATGGTGCGATGCAGAAGAGCATTGTACCCGATGGGGTACTACTTGGTCGTTTACAAAGTACTCCCTCGGAAAGCCTTGTGTTACAGGTCTTTTGCTCTGGGGCAGAAGTCTTGTGGCGCCACATGCTTGCGCGCATGCACTGACCAGATTTCATCACAGAGAACGACAAGAACTTGCATTGCTTTGCCATGCCTGGTTCTTCAGTTGGTGACTTTTTCAAGCCCTAAACAGGTCACAACGCCCGGGTCAGGCCCGGGTCACCGAGTCGCCCCATATGTCGGGACGTCGCCGTTCACGGTGAATCCATGTTCTCCGACCCTCAAGCTGTGGACCGAAACATGGATGGAGGATTCCTCAAAGCCATTTAACCATAGAAAATACACCACCCAGACGCGACCCTGGACCCGAACCTATGAAGGAGTCGGACCCGAATTGTTTTGGAGGGGTCTGGGGTCTCAAATCCCTATGGTTTTGAGGGACCAGTCGGGCTGTTTGGAGCGTCTGGGCATAGAAAATACCAGCTGAACCAGTTGGTGAATGAAGTTTCTCCTCCAATCCTCTGTCCTCATGGCCGAGGCACGGCTTCCGGCCCGAAAGACGCCACGCGCCGCCACACGGTGGTGCGGCCCGGGGCCATGGTGGGACCCGGCGCCGGACGGCGCGAGGGATACCGTGCGGTTGAAGCGTCTTGAGAGACCATGCGGAGCTCCGAGCAGGTCTCAGTTTACCCAGCCAAAGGCGAGTCTTAGCTCGGGTGTCCTCCCTATTGACACACCCGTACAGCGCGAGGTGTGAGGAAGACCCAGACACATCCGGACACTATACCTGTTTGGGACTGGCATGTGTACATTGAGGGGTGGCTAAAGAGTGGTCAATGTAGGCATAGTTTGGGAAAAGTATTTTGTTGTTTCTCGATTCTGGATGACTCTGATCTTGTCAAGACGATCATCATTGACATGGAATTGCACTGATGAATGACATCGGATGAATGGGAGGGAAGGCCACTTCCATCACAATGATGGATTGATTATGATTGATTCACATGGATCCTGTTCAAAGGCTCTTACCAGCGGTGGAGCCAACGTGCGTGTACAAACATTGTCAGAGCTTGGCTCCTTTTGCAGGGCTGCCGTTCATTCAAAAGGGTCCGAAGATCATCAGGGAGCCTGTAAAGCTCGAATTTAGATGAACTTCGATTCAGAAGACTGAGAAAACACAAGCCATCTCTTAGTGCAGAATTTGCTACCTGCCGTGGCCACCCAAAAGAGGGCGGTAGTTACATCACTCCTGGTCATTGAAGATCTGGGATGTGTTCTCAAGATCCGCCAGACACATGGCACAAACGATCACAGAACGAGTACTCGGATCCTACGAACGAACGTCCGTGTAGTCAACAAACGGACAAACGGCAGGTGGTAGGATCAACATATTGATCATCTCATGTGATGTTCATCATCTCAAGTTCCCAGTTTTCTTTCATTCCAGAAACTCTGGTTTTAGATATGATCACCCCCCCCTGGGAGGTCATAGTGACGGTCACTGCTGGATCTGGTTTCTGGACGGGAACGGGCGCAGGCTTCCGCATAGGCAACCGCCCATTTCCCCAATCGTCCAGAGAGAGATGGAGACGGAGGAAGTACACCCCGGTTCCGAGACCCATATGGAATCTGAGAATCTGAGAACGGACCAGACTGGGGTTCCAATTTTCTACTAGGGCTTACTAGATCGAGTTCGGTGGGAGTGGATGAGAAACACGAAACTTGTAAGATTCGGACAGGTTTTGGTACAACAAAATCTGTAGAACCTAGGATCAGCAAGTAAGTAGGTTTCAGCAGGGAGTTTGGAACTGGACGCATTTACTTTATTTTACTTTGTGTTTCACAGCTGAGAACTCTCAGTCTGTGGGTCTTGAGTTTCAAATCCACGCCTTGAACCAAAATGATACCTTTGTTGCAGTTGCAGTATCTACCATCCAAAAGATATGGCCCTTCCCAATCAAAACAGCTGTCTTTCCGGGGTTCCGGGTTGTGGTGACCACCTCGTTCGGTGGGAGTAACAGCGGCCGAACGGGCTGTTCTACAGCTTGATGGTTCAAATCTTCTCCGAACGGGCTCCATTTGGAGAGGTCGGAAAAAGGTGTGGGATCTGCGATGTGCACGAAAGAAGGGGGAGGTTCTGGTCAGTCAGTCCATGCAGGTGTGATTTGAAAGAGCGAGAATTCCAGAATGTCCAAATCAGAGACTTGCAAAATCGATGACAAATCCAAACCATTCAAAATCAGTGGTTGGAGGATATTAGAGGGGTCCTACTTGGAACTACACACTCATTGGTCGATCCATTCGCAATTGGATCGGCTTTCTCTCTCGGTCGTAGGGCCTGGTGGCCGTTTCAGGGTCCAAGGCGGCTATCTACAGGTGGCACCTGAAGCTGCACAACTGACCTGTTTGGGGGGAGGCTTTTGCCCGAGCTAAACTATTATACACATGTGGAAGAAGGTGAACCTTTAAAATCTATGTTCAAGGAACATCCACTTAGGGAGTCAGTATAAGCAGAAAGCACTTTTGGTGGTTTGGACTTTGGACTTAGCACAATCCCGAAACGAGAAGCCAGTGGCTAACACATGCTAACCTGGCTGGTCCACTCTTGTATATTTCTTTTCCTCTTGCTGTTGAGGGTCCCACCATATACTCCCCAACGATGGTGGGATCACCATATTCTGTGAGACTCTCAGGAATCATTCGAATTCGGAAAAACAACACAACTTTATTCCAGCATGGCCCATGGCGTGTGCTCTGTAAAGGACTTCCTGATCCCACCAAAACATCGATCCGTTTCACCTGATCCACTCTTCCTTCGTCGCGACTTCGGCCGCCTGCGCTGCAGCCGGAGGCCGCTTCCGCTTGAAGAAGGAAGGCGTCGACACGGCCGCAGGCGCGGGCTCTGCGGCGAAGCCGCGGCAGCTTAGCTTCGGTGCTTCTCGTGGCGAAGACTGAGCAGAAAGCGGCCAAAATGAATGGGATATACCTAGCAACAGAGGTTGAAGAACTTCAAAAGACTATCCCAGTTGGGTACCCCAGGTTATGGTCCTAGTTCAGGTCACTTAACCTCTCTTGGTAGCACTTCCAATGGGTGGAGAGCTACAAGTAGTGTAGGGTTGTCCATCGGAGACCACTTGGAAGCAGCTGGCACAGTCACTGCTGTGTTCGGTGGTCACCCGGTAATCATCCATTAGCGGAACTATAGGTACAGCCTAGAGAGGCTTTTCAAAGCCCATGGTAGATGTGGATCACTACAGGAATATAAGGTCTCTCAACCTTTAGGTGTTTTGGAGGTGTTTTGTTGTCAGGTTGCGGCGAAGTCTGCCATTTCTGGGATCACCCTCTTTGACCGGTGGCCAGTGATTGAAACATTGAAAACAATTGAAATCATTTGTTCAAACACGGGCTGATGGGTCAGCCTGTCCATTCCTACCTTTCAAGCTGCACCATTCAATCAAGTCTCGTGTTTCCATGTCTCCTTCGAGGGGAGATCATTCATGATTCTGGGGAAAAGAACTGGCTCTCTCTTCTTTTTAGTATAAGCTTCTTTGCAGTTTGCGCACGTCCGAGGGGGCTGGATAATTTTCAGGGATCACTTTCACGTGCGAAATTTGTGGGAGTCCAAAGTAAACACCCTATGATGTGGAGGCCGCGGAGGCCATTTTGGAGGCTGTGGTCATGAGATGTACATGCCTGGATAGACCTTTGCTGGTCGGCACAGGTGCTGGGTTTTGATCCACGGCTATATTGTTCTGATCAGGGTGAATCTAGGCTCCCATAATATAGCCAGATGCTTAGCAAAGGTTTTTCCATGTTGTACCAGGATACTCTGTTCAAGGTCCGGAGGATCTGCAAGGTACCTCGATCGGTAGGTCCTCGTCCTCGTCCCAACTGTTTGATTTCTACAGAACTGGGCGACGTAAGTGTTGTCCAACGGACCCAAAAGCGAAACGGACCTCTCACGGTTCCATTTCCAATTCATGATCATCCACATGTGAGGAACACTTCCCAATTGCAGCCCTTGGGTCAAGGAAACATGATCTAAAATCCGGTGGCTGGATCTCCCTCATCAAAAAGGCCCCTCTTGAATCTCAGTCAGACTGAGCCAGATGTGGTGCGCCCCGCCGAAGTGGTCAGGGGCGAGCCAGGTGACGCCCACAAACATGGTGTTTTGTACGCCGAGGATCCTTTTTCGGCTGAACAGATGTCTGGTTTCTTCAGCCCTGTTGGGGTTCTTTTCAGCCGAACAAAAGAGTAAGTGTAATTGCTGCAAGTAGTATATTACAAATTGTAGATGCAAGTACTGGGGTATATTGCAATTACATTGCTATAGTAAAGTGTCTCTTGCACCTTAATTGTAGTCGTTTCGACTTTCACCTCACTGCCTTCCACGGCTTGTTCCTTCCCTCGACCATCTCTCGGAGATGGAGTCCGAAGCGACAGTCGAGGCTGGGACGAGCGAATGAAGAAACTGGAGAAGGATGTCCAGCGCCTTTGGCGACGTCACAGAGCTCCGGCTGGGGGGAAACCCTGTTTGTTTTGGACTCGTCTGATCCAGTGCGTCCATGTTGATGTTCGGGGCTCCCCTTCGCGGATGGCACCCCCGGAGGAATTTTCGTCTTGGAACACGTGGAAGCGGCACGCTGATTCATGACTCATGAGGCAACATGTAACATGACTGGAACAGAATTAACTTGTTCCTTCATGTTTGCACCCTGATGGGAAGAGATACTATCACAAGCAAGGTAGCAAGGTTTATGACTCATGATGACCCATGCCATCTCAACAGATTGGGGGTTGAGCACCGCGCTTCCATACCCCGCTGGAATGATATAGATTTTGTCTTTGTCTCCTCATCCAAACGATCGAGAAGTCAGTCAACATCGATCAACCCAACCCCATAGGCCTAGGCCTAGCCTTCAAAGACCATCAAATTTCTTTAAAGAAAGGTTGACTAAGGTTAATCTGGTCTTGGCCTAAAATATCAAAAATTCTTAGTAGAATCATGTAGACTAGTGGTTGTTCGTCAAATACCACCCTGCACATCATGGTTCATGGGCCACGAATCCGGGGCTCAGAGACTCGGGACTGGGACTGGACGACCATCACGCTTGACCCCAACCACCCCAATGTTGGTAAAGCAATCCCAGCACGAAACACGGGCAGGACGACTCCCAAATAGGGAAGTCGTTGCGAATTCATGATTTTAGAGCTGTGATGTGTGTGATGTGTTTTTTCCGTCGTTGCGAAGCCTGTGCTGCTTGTGTTTCGAGTTTATGGAAATGATAGCGCTGATATTGGGCTAGTGACGCGAGGTCGTGTCTAATGTCTGTGCCTTTCGGAATTGGACACCATGCTGTACTCACCCACTCGTTGCCCCCATCATGTGAAAGATCCAACCAGAGAAAGCTAATGATCCAGATGCTTCTAGGCAACCCATGCTCTTCTTAATCCATGGGGCAAGTCACTTGTGGTTGTGACTGCACTGTTTTCAAAAGGCGGTTGCGCCATTGGGGCAGGCAGCTTGCTGGATGAAACATGTTGTTTGGATTGACACATGCAGTGCTTGGCCTTGTCTTTGGCCCAAGTTTTGTGGCCACAGTTCTGTTGATTGCTTCGCAATGGAGACGCCGCAGAGGAACAGAGCCCGGGAAGCATCACCAGAGTCGGCCAAGGATCTGGCCTGAAGGTTTCCAAGGGCTTTCTCGACATCGCGTGTCAATTTGTCCCATCCAACCATTGTCAGAGGAAAGTTGGGAGACCTTTCGACCATTGGTCAAGGCGACGCCGAACAGCGAGTGGCTGACAGGCCCGTTTGCCGGTGGAAGCAACAGCTTGCAATGCAGAGACCACGAGGACTTACAACGAGTGGGAAGCACTCCTGAAAGAGTTCGAAGTGTCCGATTCGGAGCAAAATCAAAGTGGACCAAGCCCATAGAGTCATTGTGGTGGACGAGAAAGGCTTCTCACAGAGGGCTGACAATCTCTCGAAAGGAGTCATTATAGCAACAGCCTGAGAAACAAAGCTGGCGCTGTACCATGCGAAGTCCAACCAAACCGCATACAAAATACATCGATATCGTTTCTTTATGGGCACGAAGCACACTGCAACATTGGGAAACCTTGATTGCAAGGGCTTTGCTGGGTTACCGGTCGTGGCGGTCTGTGCCATGAGGGCTTGCTGGTCCCCGGATTTTCCTGGTTTACAGTACCTTTTCTCCACCCGAAGAGGACGTAGAGTGGCCCAAAGTGGACTTGGAGGAATCAACCCCTCAACCATGGTGCAAGACAAAACCTTTACTGCCGGGGGATGGCGGGATGTCGCCCCCCACGAAGATGTCCAGAAACTTTGCTAAAACAACATTTTTCCCGAGTTTTTGCTCCAAGTGAACACTTAA